AACATCTAAAGGAGGAGGAAAAGAACACTAAAGACCTTTTAAGTAGGTAGGATGCTCCTAGCTGCTCGCTTGCTCACAACAAAAACATTTTATACACCAACACTTTCATTTTGAAACATTTTCAAAAGACAAACACTCTGTATGCGTTCTTATAGAGACGAAAACCATTACAAAAACACCTTTTCAAAATTACTTTCAAAAAACAAATTCCATAAACACTTCTTTGAATTATTTTCCAAACAACACTTTGTACACATTCTTATAGAGACGAGAACCATTACAAAGACACATTTTGAAAATACTTTCAAAACCCACACCAAAAGCACATTTTCAAACAAAGCAAGTTGATCTAACAAGCAACATTCCCCAGCAGATTCCTCCTCAAACAGCAGGAACATGAATTCCCCACAAAGGGACCTCTTATGAAGTCAACACCTACTTTGGATGGCGTCTTTAAGCCCATCTCCAACAACTCTCAATCATCTTTTCCAAATGGCATCTTTAAGCCTATTCCCTATACAGTCAACCATCACATCATCGAGTGAAAATTTCTGAGCACTCTAGTATCCAATCATCTTCCAACTTCAGATCACGAAAGGAAAACAAGCCAATCTAAATCTTCAGGTTTAAGAAGATTGAACAGGGGCAGTTGTTGTACCCCAAAATTTTCCCTCTCATGTTTTCCAAGATATTCTCTTACATGGGTAGTTACAAACACTTACTTAAAGAAAATAAAACTTTTGAAGATAATCAAGTGTCTTTCGATTGGTATCTAATCAAGTGTCTTTCGATTGGCATCTGAACAAGGTCTTTCGATTGCATCTGAACAAGCTCTGATTGGGCGCTGGACCTCCTTCTATGCAGGCTTGATTCACAAGCTTCGATTGGGTGTTGGGCCTCCTTCGATCAAATTTCAATTCACAAAGCTTTAATTGAGCATTGGCTGCTTCAGGCTTGCCTTTGATTCATAAGGCAAGGACTTCCTACTTGCCTTCGATCCACAAGGCAAAAGGCCCCTTTCAACTGACCTTCGATTCACAAAGCAATGGCTATCTACATGCAAGATTTGACTGGGAAATGTCTATCTTCAAGCCTGCTCTAACTTCACCTCTAAAAACCTTCAACATTTAGTTTTCCATACTTCGACACACAAGACGGTCCCTTCGAAGAAACTTTCTCAAAGGTCTATTCGAAAGACACACAAATGGTGCCTTCAAAGGACCTACAATTGGCCCATTCAAAGGAAACATTATTATGGGAACCAGTTTGTTTTATGATGAGTCCTGGTCCAAGAGGTTTGCTGGCCAAAGTCCAATATGCTTCCAGGACCAAGCCTCCTGCACAATCACATTCATGACAAAAGAAGCTTCGACTGGCCAGAAAAGAATTTTGATTGGGTTAGTTGAAAAGTTTCAGATCAAGCTACCAAGGCAAATAGGGGCTCAATCGAAGAAGCCCCAATGATGAGGATTGGAACCATTCGAAGGAGGCAACTATGGGTCAATCGAAGAGCAAGGATAAGGTGTACTTCGAAGGCATGTTAACAAAGTGTCCTTCGATTGGCATATCAGAATGAGGGTTACCTCGAAGGCATGTCAACAAAGTGTCCTTTGATTGGCATATCAGAACAAGATGCCTTTTGATAAGCATGTCAACAAAATCAAGCAATCAATGCAGAAGTTGACTTAAGATAAGAAGTTATGATAAGGAGGGTTCTGAACAATTCGAATCAAACTCACAGCCACCGAAGAGAATAATGCTTGGGGGCTGATCGAAGATGTTCTGATAAAGAAAACTATGAGCAGTTCGAATTCATACATGGCGCCAATCATCACCTATCCAGGTTCATTCAAAATTCCAAAATAGCATGAAAAGTCTCTAAATGGCAATCTTTAAATTTGTCTGATTTTATTTTCAAAGCCATGTTTAATGGCTGGTCTTTAAGGTCATGTTTCTTTCCCCATTTTCTTGTCTCCTCCACCTCCTATAAATACAAGACACCAAGACAAGTAAAAAAATGACAACACGCACACGCTGCCTCAGAAAGCATACCAAAATTTTAAAAATCTCAGAGTTCGAAACTAGTTTTGCAGGTACCCTCAGTCCCAACGAATACTAGATTTAAGCTCCTGAGACTCCCAAGAGTTTACTCCAAGCTAATCCACACCCAAAAGTTCCAAATCGAAGCATCCCATCTTTGCTAAATTTTCAAATTCATATCTATGTTTTCATGATGTATTAATTTTTTCCAGTGTTTGATTCATGCTCAGGGTATCATATAGCACAACTTTCACATGAAACATGCAAGGATGGAGTGCACGATTTGTGTTTTTCATCGAATCTCAAAAACTTTGGTTTTTTTTAGGGCAAACAAACCCAGATTCGAACTCAAAGGGGGTCGAATTAAGGGAGATCGAATTACGTAAAAAGGACTTGGGTTCAACATCTAGGTCATGCTTTTGTTTTTGTTAACATTTTTTTTGCAGGCTCAGTGCCTTCCTCCACAAGTAATCCATCAGACACCTCCAACAACATCCTTCATTGGATCGAAGGCCACCCTTCATTAGATCGAAAGCCATCTCTTTTTTTTGGAAAACTGATATATTATATATACATCCCATAAACAGTTTAGCACCAAGCGACCCATAGGGTCTAGCCCAAAAAACCATACAAAACCTAAACAACCTAACCCGCTGTTAGAATCAAATGAGCAACATGCTCATGAAGCTTTTTCTTTTTCCAGCACCTATTAACTATCCTATCTATTATATTTTTCCTATATTACTGTTATCCTGCCTTTCACTCTTGTTCTCACTATACACAATTTTGTTTCTCAATGTCCAGCACCCATAGATTGTTTCTGCAAACGCAGTCTTCAAAATTCTATTATAACCGTTTTTCCCCTTACTGTTTCCAATCATCCAATCCATCTCCTCATACCACCGTTTGGGTCTATGGTAAGTGTTACACCACTGCAGCACACTTTGCCATATACTGCACATTACATGGCAGTCAAAAAAGAGGTGCTGGATGTATTCTTTCTCATACATAACTCACATTTTTCCTCAGTGATCAATCCAAATTTATACAGTTGGTTCTTTGTTGCAAGCCTCTTGTTACACGTCAACCTCAAGGTGAAAAGAGCCCTTGGGGATGCTTCATTATCAAACAACAGCTTTCTCCATTTTACTTTTGGCTCTGGATCCAATAACTCATAGTACATCTTCCTAACTGTAAACCTGCGATCATTTTGCACCTGCTTCCAGTACTGGAGAGAATCTAGCCCAGACTTGGTCTGCAGGATACTTCTCAAAATCCACGAACACGAAGATTTGAAAGCCATCTTTTCTTTTGGATCGAAAGACTTTTCTTGTTTTTTTTAAAATATTTTTGTTACTCATTTCTCTTAATAGTTTCCCTCTTTAAATCAATAACCAAATAAAAAAATTCATCATAAAAATTAAGATTAGATTTTATTAATTGAATTAATTTCTGAAATAATTAATTAATTAACTTTATCATCTTCTTCTCAAAAATTAAAATAAATTAGAATTTAAGTTTAATCTTATTTTTTTAATTTATTTTCTTTTCATAAAAAATCAAAAATAAAACAAAAAGATTTTATTCTTAAGATTTTAGACATCTTTTCAAATTCACGCGTTATTGTTCTTCCGCACTAATGAGTTGTGATAGTTAGGACTTTATTCTCTGCTTTTTATTTCTCCCCAAGTTTTTATACATGTAAATATCCTCCTCCCAGAAGCCATATAATAGCGTAGCTTTAATTTCCGCGCTTTTTATTACTGCTAACTATTAACTGTTAGATGCATGAATAATAGGATTGTATGACAAGAATAAAAACAAAATGCTAACAAACTTAAATTCAAAGACAAATAACTGAAACAAGCACACATGCACATATACACCTCTAGGGTACTCCCACTTTGGTTGCCTTTGAAAAATAAAACGGTCATGTTCTTCGAAAGTGGGGACGCTTTAGCAAATACCCTCGAATCAAGAGTTTATAGTCCCTCGATGACCATTCGGTGTTGCCTTTCGGTAAATGATCTAGTCCCTTAAACAAATTGCTAAAGCGTCTCAATATGTTGCCTTTATGACTGTACGATAACCCACGAATGTCCCTCAAACATCCAATGACTAGGGCTACCTACTCACTAATAGTAGGATAGCACTGTCTAAAGGAAATGAGGAAAAGAACAAACTTTTTGAGTAAAAGTAAATAGCTGTTAGATGCTATGCTCAAAAACAAACTTTTTTACACTTACACAAAATAACTTTCAAAAACATTTTCAAATGCTTTATCAACACTCTTGCAGACTGATACAAGAGTTATCATAAATTAAATTGCCGCACTAAGACGCTTTCAAAAATATTTTTCAAAACACACAAAACATAAAGTATTTTTTTCAAATGAGCTAAGCATCTAAGAGCCTGTAGAAAACTACGGATGGAAAGGGTGCTAACACCTTCCCTTTTCATAATCTACCATCCTTACTCAGAAATAATCTCGAAAGGTCTTTTTCTGTTCTTTTCACCCTTTCCTTTGTTGGATAAAATAAAAGTCGATGGCGACTCTTTCTTACCGCAATATTTGCAAATACAAATGCAAAACCAATATAACAGTCGGTTCTGCCACTGTATCATAGCTACGATGATATCCTAAGTGAATGTGAGCATACAATGACAGGTTTTAAATGTGCAGATTTAATCTATGTTATGGAGCAGACTATGTTTTATTATGTCTAACACCCTTAGTGGTTAGCATTTTATAATTAAATTCTCTATAAATTGTATATGGGGTTTAGGGTGTTACATCTCTCACCCCATCTCGATCTTTAATCATCTACCTCACAAGCTTCTTCCCTTTGGAAAGCTTTTCTTTCGAAATGGTGATTTTGGACTTCATCTCGCCCACAACTTAGGTGTGACTTTTATGGGTGATTCGTTCCATTAATAGGCCTCTAAACATATAATTTTCGTCAAGTCAGACGACTGTAAGGATCCATCTTACGAATTTCCCAATAGCCACTAAAAAAATCTTCAGGGAAATGAAGGCGGGAACTAATGAACTTTTTGGCGTCAAATGTTTGAATAATCCACATCGAAGATCGAGAGCACAAGTCATCCCTAGTTGGAAAAGTGTGTTCACAATCTCTATCATCTCCCAGCACTATACTAGCGTTATCTTTTGGGTCTAGAGAGGAACTTCCGCTTTGTTTATAGATCTTGAAGGGGCGAGGTTTGTTAGGGGCGATGCCTTCGACCTGCCTCTTGCTTCCTTTCATGACGACGCCTTTTGAGTGACTCTTTGGATTATCTTTCCATTGCTCTTCACGCTCAGCCTTCTTCTTGGATAAGTGCTCTTTCCTTTCTGCTAGAGGGATGGGTGAAACTTTCTCTATAAAAATAAAAACAAAGACATAAGTAACCAGGCGAGTAAATAACCCTAATAAACTGAAAGTCATTATGATCTCATACTTACGCATATATTTATCTATCTCACTATTTTCCCCAAACTAATATAATCATGGTATGTGAGTTCATAACCTTAAATTCGTCCAAGAGCCAGACCACTTCACTCTCAATAAGGTAAGGTAGTCAAGTTAAAATCAGTAATGGTCATTGGATTCTCTGTCTAAGTCAGATGGAAGTTAAGGACACCATTTGACCTAAAGTGGAACTTGAACATTGCTTTTCTAGACAGGGAATTCAAAGTCACACAACTACTTTTAGCATCAATTTTGATACCGTAAAAGGAAAAAGAATATTCCTATGGTTGGGACAACTTCCAACCCCTAACATATAATTTCAAACACCCTAATCAAGCTCTAGTAGTTGGGAGATATCTAGGAGGGAGCGACGTTGAAAATCGCTAAAACCTCCACTTCAAACAAGATAAAGAGGATAAAAATCCCTAAATCTTGAATAACAAGGAGGTGCAAGTAAAAGTAAGGACTATGTGAGTCAGCTAGGTCGGCCATGTTAACTCTTTCTTCCTCAACACGCGCCTTCAAAGTGATATCTTCCTCATGGCAAGAGCTAAAAAACCGATTTGTCTCCAAAAAGAAGCAACCCTCTCCTCACTAGCGTACATGGTCATAAATTTTTTGATATTCAAGTATTTAACGTTCTTAGCCACCATTATTTGCTTAGAGTTTCCTAGTAAAGATCAAACATGAAGAAAGATAGTCATTATCACTCACATAAGTATTAGTTCTCTTGTAACTACAGAATACGCCTAAATCTAAGAGTATGTAGTCAATAGAACCATTCTCCATTCGGTATTGCTCGCGCAACACAAATACATTTCAGACTCTTATCTAATGTTTGAAGGCTCTATCACCCTACCACTCTCATCTAAATTCCTAATAATCACCACTAAAAGGGAAAAGAGGAAGGAAGAGTAAAAGACTTTCACCAAGAACTTAAAATTAAGAGTTGAACTGGAAAAATTGGAAAGCAAATATGCTCAGCGCTTTGGACACCCTGATGGAGTTTACAAAAGTTTGGAGAAGATACTTTAAAAGGTGGATAGGGAGGGTTGAACCCCTTTTATAGGTTTTTGAAAGCTAGCCCTAGGGGTAATCATCGACATCTCAATAGGTACATAAACATGTGTAAAATATCCCTCACGTCTCTGAAACGTGTAAGGAATTCAGACTGATTTGAATTCCCTAAACAAATTCATCATTAATCAAATTTAATGTTGTGCATGAACTTACCTCAAATGACATTTGAGGACTCTCCGCAACAGACATTTAAAGACTTAACTTGAATGACGTCTAAAGATCCACTCTAAATAATGTTTGTAGGACTCGCCCCATGTGCTTGAGGGACTCTACCCGAGCTATGTTTGAGGGACTCACCCCAAACATAAAGATATGAAGCGATTGAACTAAATCAATTCACTTAAGCTTCACAAATATAGATCTTCTGACCATTTTTCGTGAATTCTCTCTAACACCATTATAAATCCCAAAACACCACACATACCCCTCCAAATACAAGATTATCCCTATTGTATGTTTTTAGCAAGTACATTTACTAACCACGACCCTTCTTCTCTTGTGATCAAATAAAAGGTACCCAACATAATACTAGGAAAAGTTTTATCATCAGTATTACCTCATTTTGCCTATGGTATGTGCACATGAGCTATGCATCCACAAACTCGAAAGTGTTGAACATAGAACTTAACTCCACTCCAAACTTCTTGAGGAGCGATGTTCTTCACACCATGTTTTGTACATCGATTCAATAGGTATAAAGTCCATTTTGCAGCTTCATCCCAAAACAGTTTTAGATAACATGTGGCGCACCATATTCATCACCATTCTATTTTTGCATTATGGTACTCCATTTTGGTGTGGTAAGACCTCTGTTAGTTTCTTCCTTTTAACAAATGATTTGAATTGTAGAATGAATATCAATTATCAAGAGAAGGAATAGAGAATTAAAAACTCAAGTATTCTCATTCATATGCTTTTACATTTATCAAAATAAGCTGCAAATTAGCAGTAAGGTGAAATAAGATTCTTATCAACTACAGCAAGGAAGATAGATACAAGTAACTAAGTAAGTACTATACGAGTAAATGAAAAATTGGGAAAAATAAATAAAAAATACAAAGAATCCTTCTTGTTGGAGAAAGAGTAGAAATCTATCTCTTTTGGAAGTTGAAGGATTTGATAGCAACGGCGAAAATGAATGCAAAGAGAACAGCAATACCGGCAACCACAATTGCACACTCTCCTATGAAGTCGTGTTTGATACCATAAAAGTCTTCAATGAAAGTTTTCACAATCTTTTCACTTTCAGTCGTCATAGGAGTAGTTATATCCCCAAATTGAGATGCAACCAATCCGTAAATGGTCCATGCAACTGGACATGCCCAGTAGTACCATCTCCACCATACTGGAATGCTCTGTTATCAAAAGGTAACAAGAACAAAAACGCAATTGTTAGCATACTTATAATATAGATTCATTCGAACGGTCTTTCTGAATGTTAGCACTTACAGGTCTCGCTACGACGAATCCCGAAAAGAGGTTCCAAATTGCATAAAATGCAGCAGCCACGATAGAAGCAACATGGTGATTTGGTGTCACTGCCACAGCCATCATACCATAGAAGGTAAAGTAGAGCAATGTGAAGTACATGAAGAATAGATACCAAAAGAATTTCTCTGCTGTCCAGTCAAATCCGATCATGGCATAGACTATAACTCCATATACCACAGCTTGAGCAAAGACATAAGGTAGCTCTACCAAAATCTGCGACGAAAAGGGAGGTGTTAATAAGAGAAATTCTAGTTTGCATACTAACCTAAGTAGTAAATAAGTCAGTAGATTAGATGATTATAATTACCTGTGAAATTGCATAGGGTAAAGCAGAATACATTCCAGCAGCTTTTTCTCGATAAAATACAGTTCTTTCAACCGCTACCACTGGCTGCACAGAAGAAGAATTTTGTACTCCAAGGAAGAGAACAGCAGTATACATTGAACCCACAGCATTCAACAGGTTTTGTCTAGTTTCGCTGCAAGACACCAAAAGGTATTAGAACTTGAATGTAAATAAACAGAGATAGTATAATGTTTAGTGAATAATATGGAATTCTTTTTTGATTAAAAATAGTTTGACTTACTGTTTGCCACCAAGGTCCCAAAACATTGTTCCGAACATCAAGGCTATGAATGTGGTGAAGAAAAACCTCACAGCAGTGTATGGTGGATTACGCCAATATGACCAACGTTGCTTCCATAAGCAGGCCTGGCATTGGACCAAGAAAGACTGCGAGAATTGTGTAGGGAAATGAAGATCATTTGAACCAGGAGCAGGCTGGCCAAGTTCTTGTATAAGTTGTTTGTTTCTCCTGAAGAGCCATACAGAACAGTTTAAGCATGTTGCAAACATGACACGAATAGCTACTACAGTTAATAGATTCATATCCATATGCACTAGCGTACCTATATAGATCTGAATTTTTGTACAAGTCGGTAAAATCAACACCCAAATTAAATTCTTGTGCTGTAGTTGTAACTTCCAACATCCATGTTGCTGGGTTATATCCGTCTTTGATTTTACTCACCCCATCAATGCTCTGGACAAAGAATGTTATTTGACTACTTTAGTAACTAAATACAATCAAGAAATAGAGACATTCGCTAAAGTGGTATCCTACCTCGAAATACTTGATCAAATGAACAGAATGACGACCAAGTGGTCCAACGTATATTTCTTGCCCTCCACGCTTCATAAGGAATAGCTAGAATTGCAAATGAATAATATGTCAGATTCAAGTATAAAAGGCAACTTCATTTGTCATTAGAATTTATTTGTTATCACCGCTCACTACATACCTCATCAAATGCTTCAAAGATGTCAATACTAGGCTGATGGATGGTACACACGACAGTTCTTCCTGTGTCCACTGTGTTCCTTACAGTTCTCATAACAATTGCAGCAGCTCTAGCATCTAAACCAGAAGTAGGCTCATCCATGAAAATTATAGATGGATTAGCCACTAGTTCGACTGCAATAGTAAGTCTCTTGCGTTGTTCAGTTGAGAGACCACTCACGCCAGGCAAACCAACCAGGGAATTCCTCAATGGGTTCAGCTCCACGAGGTCCATGACTTCATCAATAAACATCTGCAACCATTTGTAATGTTCTTAAAGTCAGAACAATCAACCTCAAGTAGATTAGGAGAAATTAAACCTAAAATGGCATAGTTCTTGTGCTGCAAGTATTAACTGACCTTTCTGGTCTTGGAATCAACTCCTGAAGGTAAACGAAGCCATGCTGAGTAAAGCAGGGACTCATAAACTGTTACATGAGGTGAATGGATGTCGTTCTGCTCACAGTAGCCAGAGATCCTAGCAAATGTTTCCTGCTTTTTCGGGTAACCAGAAATCTTGATGTCTCCATCAATATATCCACCTGTTTTCCTACCAGCCAGAACATCCATCAGAGTTGTCTTTCCAGCTCCACTTACACCCATCAAAGCCGTGAGAACACCAGGCCTGAATGCGCCACTAACACCCTTCAAAAGTACTAATCTGTCCTCTGAAACCCCTTGTTCCTTCATTTCCTGTCAGATGAAATTGGAGTGAAGTTAGAAAAACTCTTTTTGTCTGACTAAACATGAGTCTAGTTAGATATGCAAATGCCGAATACATCACTTTGTGTGAATCTTACCGCTGGCATATCAACAGAGTATACAATATCATCAAAAGTGATAGAATGTGGGTCAAATGGAAGAACCATTCCTTTCTTTCCATGG